TCTTCCTCTTCCTCCTCTTCCTCCTCCTCCTCCTCCTCCTCCTCCTCTTTTTCCTTTCCTCCTCCTCTTCTTCCTTTCCTCCTTCCTCTTCTTCTCCATACTAGGACTGAACTCAGGCCTTCACCCTGAGCTATATCCCCAGCCTTTTAACTCTTCATTTCAAGGTAGGGTCTGGTTAAACTGCCCAGGCTGGGCTTAAACCGGCAATGCTCCTGCCTCAGCCTCCCAAAGTGCTGTGCTTACAGTTACACAACACCACCCCTTGCCCCTGATTTCTTTTCTTTCTCCCATTTCCAAGTATGAACGAAATACACTGAGAATTCCAATTCCAAATAGAAGTAGAAAAGAACCCCAACCAAAGCCTTCTTTGGTCAACAAACCTAGAAAGGGAGAGCCTTGTGAGAGAGGAAAGTTTGGGCAATAACTGTTCCACCCCAGCTGAACGGCACAGATGACCCCTCAGCACAGCCAGTCGGCAGAGGCCAGGCACACGGCCTGCACGCACTCATCCTTTCCAGGCTGTGGCAGGCAGCCCAACCTGTCCACCTACCCTCAGCCCTTGCCAGGTGCTGGTCCAATGCCAAGCAGAGACCGGGTGTTCATGCTGGCCAAGTGGCAGCAGGCTCCTCCGTGGCTAAGATCCCTACCCCATCACATGGTGAGGAGCCCTGTGGGGATCCTGGACTTGCACCCCTCCCAGGAAGGAAGGAGGCAGCACCCCTCCCTGGTTCCCACCACTGGAACATTGTCAGAAAAAAAATAAAATAAAAAGATTAAAATAAGATCCAGAGTCTTTTAAAACACTACTCCAAATGTCAAGATTTCAATAGAAAACTGCTTATCATACCAGCAACCAGGAAGATCTCACTCTGAATGAAAAAAAAAAAGACAGTTCTAACATCAAAAAAGAAAGATTTTGACATTATCTGACAAGTGTTTTCAAGTAACTATCATGGAAGTGCTTCAAAGAGCAATGGCAGACCCTGTTTCAAAATGAAAGATATAAAGGGCTGGGGTGTAGCTCAGTGTGAAGGTCCTGGGTTCAGTCCCTAGTACCCTGCCCCAAGAAAGATCAATGACAACACTCTTGAAACAAATTAAAAGACAGGAAAAAAAAGAGAAATTGGGGCTCTGACACTGAGAAAGACCACGACCAAAATTAAGATGCTCAGTGGCAGAAGGGTGGGGACATAAGGAATCGGACAGCCTGTGAATCAGACAGTAGGACAGTAGAGAGCTTCCAAGTCAAACAGCAGAGAGAAGACAGGCTGAAGACAAGCCAAAAACAATAACAACGACAAAAACTTAAAAGCCTCAAGGGCCTGTCGGGCTACAACAACAACAACAAAACCCTATTTCTATATTATTAGGATTCTAGAAGGAGAGGAAAAGAAGGTGGAAATGAAAAATACTCAAAGAATACTGCATTAATTTTTTCTAAATTTGGCAGAAAACATGACCATATAGATTTAAGAAACAGACAAAACCCTAAACACAATAGCAAGAAATCCACAGTAATACATGTCATAGTCAAATTTCTGCAGACAAACCAAACTCCTGAATGAAGAAAGAAATGAGAACTTATAATTAGCAAAGGGAAAATAACCCAAAATTGCATTATGATCCAGGGAAGTTAGAGGATTTTCCCATGCTGAGAAGAGAACGCAGATGTCCACAGCCAGCTGGAAGGTCTTTTCACAGGAAAATATCCTCTAGGAATGGAAGAGAGACCACGACCTCAAGAAGAAGGGAAATTAAGGGTGCTTGTCAGCAGCAGGCGCACTGCAAAAGAACTGCCAAAAGAGCTTTCTAAACAGAAAAGAAAAACTAAAGAGAAACATTAGAACATCCATAAGGAACACAAAAGACAGTAAATGAAAATACGGGTCAGTACAGTAGACATTCCTTCTCCCATTGAGTTTTTCAGATTCTGTTGACAGTTGAAGCAAAACTTGTATCTAATGTGATTCTCAATAAATGCAGAGGAAATATTTGAACAGTTATAAACAGGGAAGATCACAAATGTAAAGAGAGACAAAGGAAGTCTCAATAGAGTGAAAACATTTTGGTAAAATCTAACAAACATTCCTGAAATAAAATCTTAGCAAACTAAAAATAGATGGAAATGTCCCTGACCCTGTAAGGGCTATTTACAAACACGTCATTCTTAAGGTGAAAGAACCAAATGTTTTTCTCCTAGAAACAAAGCGCTAACTAATTCTAGTCAACCTTGTGTGGAACGTACTATCAGGTGCTACATGCTAGAAATAAAAGAGGTACAGAATGGGTGCCTAGGAATAAAACTATCTTTAGCTGAAAGGGCCACGCATCTGTAGAAGATCCTATGGGGACAGACAGGTACTAAACTAATAAAAAGCATCTTCAGCAGAGACACAGGGGGGTTGTGGGTACAGCTCAGGGGCTGAGGAGCTGCCTGGAAAGCACAAGGCTCTAGTTTCCACCCTCAGCGCTGACAAGAAAAAAGATACAGGACACAGACTACAAAACTCAACTATGCTTCTACAGAGTTGTAAGGAACAACTACCAATTAAAAGGTTTTTACACTATTTACAATAGCATCCAAAATATAAACTATTGTGGGTAAATGTGATAAAAGATGGATACAGGGTCTTGCTATGTGTAGTTCAGGTTGACATTGAACTCACTATGTAGCCCAGGCTGACCTCAGATTCATAGTAATCTTCCTGCCTCAGTCTGCTGAGTGCTGGGATTATAGGCGGCCACAGCCATGTCCAGCCATCCAACTCTAGATGCATGAGAGAACCCAAGTAAGGCTTTCCCAGGAGAGGCCCATCAGCCCTGAATAATGTGAAAGAGAGTTAATAAATTGCCACCTTCAGCAACACAAAAATTCAGGACGGGGGCAGTGGGGAAAGATAACACCAAGGGGACTTGAGAATCAAAGGCCCAAGTATAGATAAAAAGCCGTATATGTCTAAAGAAATTTGTCTTTTCAGCAAATGTTGAGTGAGCGACTGAAAATACTCATGCAAAAAAAGAGCAAGCTTAGATCCAAACCCACACCATATACAAAAATTGACCCCAAATGGATCATCAAAGAATGATATATCTACAGCTTCCAGGAGAAAAGAAGAGAATTCCATTGTGATCGTGGGTGTGGCCAAGATTTCTTACACCAAGCCCAATCAATAACAGAGAGCATTGCTAAACTGAACTTCCAAGAGCGCAGGCTTGGTGAGTGAGTGAGACGACCGGGGCCACTGGATCCTGAACAGACACAGAGCGCAGGCTTGGCGAGTGAGTGAGATGACCCGGGCCTGCAGGATCCTGAATAGACCAGAAGCGCAGGCCCAGGGAGTGAGTGAGAAGACTGGGGCCCTCCGGATCCTGAATAGACCCAGAGCCCAGGCCTGGCAAGTGAGTGAGACCACCCAGGGCCTGCGGATCTTCATTCGACCCAGAGTGCAGGCCCAGCAAGGAAC